AGATCATAAGGTCAATACAATAATTTTAACAACACATTTACCTGCATTCTCAATACTCTTGGCCCATCATTGCTCTGCTCCTCCTGGACAGTTTTTTTCCTAATTTTGAATTAATCCAGTCATCTGCTTTCTGCTCCCAGGTGGCAAAGCACCACAGGAGAATAATGAAGAAATATGCAGGTTAACTTTGCTAAAATTGGTGATTTTCAGCTTCAGCCGACACTTTGGCAATGCTAGGCAAACCTATAACTTGTCCATGTTCAACTCCATTTTCTCTAAGTCTATAGTGTCTGATGAAAACCCTTGCCATTTCCTAAATTCCTCATCTCATTCTCTCCTGTAGATCATTTTGCAAATGTTGTCATCAGACATTAGCTCTTTCAATTTTTATGCTAACCAATGCTCTAAGTGCATTAAATCCAAGGCAACTATTTGCTTGGTTCTCATCCTTGATTTTCTCTGCTCATTATATTCCAGGCACCCCTGGTTTTCTATCTAGTTTCTGTTGCTAATATGGCACTTGGACTTGACAATGGATTTCTGCTTCCCAATTTTTGTCCCTTGGCATAAAATAATCTCCAGGATTTGAACTAAACCTGGAATGTCCTAATCCTGGGATGTCACAAGTCATCATGATCAAGTGGGATTCAACCCAGGGATGTAAGGATGGTTCAGCATATGCAAATCAATGTGATATATAATATCAACAGAATAAAGGACAAAGACCATATGATCATTTCAATTGATGCTGAAAAAGCACTCAATAAAATCCAACACCCTTCATGATAAAAACTATAAAAAAATTGGGTACAGAGGAATTTACCTTAACATGATAAAAGCCATATATGACAGACCCACAGCTAGTATTATGCTGAATGGGGAAAAACTGAAAGCCTTTCCTCTAAGACCTGGAACAAGACAAGGATGCCCACTTTCACTAATGGAAAGCAACAAGGCTCAACTTAGACCACTTCTCTTTTCTCTCTCCTTGGTGATCTAATCTTCTGGCTTTAAATATACCCTCCATAAGTTGGTAACTCCCAATTTTATTTCTTCAGCTCCGACATCTCCCCTGAATTCCTGACTTCTGTATCTGCCTACTCAAAATCTCAATTTGGGTATCACATGCCTTCTCAAACTTAATGTGTTCAAAATCAAGCCTACAAGAGGAGATTTCTGGGAATGATGGATATAGTTATTATCTTGTTAGGATAATGGTTTCATGGGTGTACGCCTATTGAGAAACTTACCAAATAGAATACTTTAAACATGTAGAAGTTTTTATATATTGATTACATTCAATAAAGAGGCAAGTACAAGTCAGTTTCCTGACCTCAATAAAGTGATACACTTATATTTGTGTTATCTTCTCCAAATGATGAACTTTGTATATTCTGAAATACCTTTTCCTTTATTCCCTTACTCTTGAAGAGAGTAAGAATTATAATTAAGTAGTCTCAACTAACAAGATAAAGTTCCCAAATAGGTTGGATTATACTGTGCTTGATTTGGGATTCTGTGAGATTAGGTCATTATTTCCTGTTATAACTCTGACAAACTCAGCTACATGGCATGCTGGGACCTCAGCAGTGGACTAGTAGTGAGGGTAAGAGGACAGGACTCATGCAAATGAGAGTCTCTTTTTCATATTGAAAAGGTACCCTCTTCCCTTGCCCCAAGATGGGCCATAAAATTTTCAAAACTTCATGACAAAGTTGGGTTTCATTTGATCTCTGTAGGACCAGTGAGAGGAACCAAGAGGGGCCATAAAATTTTCAAAGCTTCATGACAAATTTGGGCTTCACTTGATCTCTGTATGTACCCAAATAGGTAGGACCAATGAGGGGAAGCAAGACTAGAGACAATAGCAATACTCAGACAGTATCTAAGCACTATGCTGTAAGTACTATGTGGATCCAGAACCAAGCTTGGGAAGATAGGAAGGAGGGTCCCAATCCCAGAGAGGAAGTGGCAAAAGTTAAGCAGGCTATCCTAGTAGGCTGAGGTTCAAATAAACACTCTAATCCTAACTGGGGAGTTGGTATAAAAACCATGAACAGTTAAAAGCTCTTTCACATACACTGGACAAACAGCAAAGATTGTGAAGTGTTAATCAGTTCAGAAGGCACTTGACTGGGAAGTTAAGTACAGTGGATATTGGGTTTCTGGCAAGAGAACTAATTTTAGAAAGCATCAGATACTAGGTTTGAGCTTATTATATTTTAAGATTATCTGGAAGCTTGGTATAAAGAAGGAAAATAATTCCTATTGGCTACAAGTCACTAAAGCCACACATGTAAATTTTTTTTATTTTTTTGAGACAGAGTCTAACTCTGTTGCTTGGGCTAGAGTGCCATGGCATCAGCCTAGCTCACAGCAACCTCATAAACTTCTGGGCTCAAGTGATCCTACTGTCTCAGCCTCCCAGGTAGCTGGGACTACAGGCATGCACCACCGTGCTCAGCTAATTTTTTTTCTATTTATAGTAGAGACAGGGTCTCACTCTTGCTCAGGCTGGTCTTGAACTCCTGAGCTCAAACAATCCTCCAGCCTCAGCCTCACAGTAAATTGTGTTTTTGAGACAGTCTGTCACCCAGGTTGTCATACACTGGCTATATGTAGTGATCATAGCTCACTGCAACCTTGAACCCCTGGGCTCAAGCAATCCTTCTGCCTCAGCTACTGTAGTAGGTAGGACTATAGGCACATGCCACCATGCATGGCTGTTTTTTGCAGAGACAGGGATCTCACTACATTCACCCTGCTGGTCTGGCACTCCTGGGCTCAAGCAATCTCCCGTCTCTGCCAAAGTGCTGAGATTTAAGGCATGATAGCCACTACACCCAGCCTGCTCTTTGAAACCAGTCAGAACCAAGCATATCCCAGTCTATTATAGTCACATACCTTTAGGTCTCTACTGAATTCTGTTAAGTTGAAGATATATTATGAAGGGTAAATTCCTTATCCAACTATAACTTAAAGGTTCCCGATTTTAACTACTATTGCCCAAGTTTTAGTAACAAAAGGTATTACCTAGTCAGTATTGGTAAATTAGGTGGCTGGCTAATAGAGTAAAAACACCATTTAGGTGTTTATTAAAAAGTTTGAATCAGCAACAGAAACCAATGCTAATTATGCGTTGAGCTTCCAAGCTTATTTCCACTAAAATTGTACCTTTACGAGCCAACTCTCACTTTCATGAGTGGATCCTTCAGAGTCAACTAAGACATGAATGACACAATGGTCACATTTCTAACTTCCAACATTTTGGCCTTTTGTCCCCCAAATTCAGAGAATTTGTCACTTGCAGGCTTTGGGCAGTGCTGCTTGCTGAGTGTTTTATGCCTAACTGTATCTTCCCCACATTGGAGTTGGTCTTAACTCAAATCCACTTGTTTTCCCTTGTGTTTCGTATCTCTTTATAGCTTGCCTTTGATTTCTCGTTATCTTGTGCCACTATTGATTGACACAGAGATTAGAGTGTTTTTAACTCTGGCCTCCTTGGGAGAACCTAGTATAGTACGGTGCATAAACAGAACTAATTTGGATAACAACTAAGAAATAGTGACTTTAAAAGATCTACAGAGAAGCAAGGGAAGTAAAAACTGAAGCAACTGCAGAAAGAGGTCAGAGGGCTCCAAAGCCAACTTGTCTATTTCTCAACTTTGCCTTGTTTGGAAGCATTTGCCAGTCTTGAGAAAAGCGTAATGAAACTTTACCCTGAAAGTTTGGTGTGGGATCTCAACAATTAGTCATTTATGTACAATATTAATGGCTGTGCCCTGTTCTAGGTACTTGAGACATATCAATGAATGAAACGTAGCTCTTCTTGGCACTTAAATTCTATGATTTAGAATTTCAAGCATAATTCTAGCAGGGGGAGAAAGATGACAACAGACACAATTTACAGAGCATGTCACAGTTTCTAGTGTAGCAGGGTAAGGGGGCATCAGAGATCAAGGGTGCAAAGGCAGTTTTTACCACATTTTATGCACACCATCTTACTGAATGCTCATATGAATGTGTATTTTTATCTCCAAATAAAAGAAAACACAGGCTCCCTCCCTCCATTTGGCAGCATCAAGATATTGAATTACATATGTAATCCATTATGCTAAATGACTTTTCCTTTCTAGATTTCAGCAAGACTTAAGGCATTGAAAGCCCCCAACTAACTTGGGAAATTACTTAGATTGGCTGGGTCCCTCAAATTCATGTCTTAACTTCTAAGAGGGCCCAAGCTTCTTAATGAACAGTCCATGCAGGGCCTATTACTGTTTTAATTCCCTGGAAAGTACTTGCCAAGATTCACTTTCCTACAATACTTAGCCATGCAGTTAACTAGTTATCCCTGATACCCCAAATATTTACACTTTGCATTTAAATACAGCTGCAAGAAATATTTCTTGAGACTCAAAATCAAGAATCAAGATTGTGGAATGGTAACAGGATTCACTGCAATAACCTGCCAAATTTTTTTAACAATGACACTTGAATCTGGGCTTCGTAATAATTTATTCATGCGGGTATTTATGGAAAATGACCATGTAAGAGGCCCAAGGGTAGATCATACACTATTACTATTTATACCAAATCTATTTTCAATAATGTTTGGCTAGCTTTAACCTAGACTGTGTCACCTAGGACCTTCTCTCAAAACCCTGGTTAATCACAAACTCATTTTGGGGCAGTGCTCTCTTCTATTATCTTTAGTATCCCATTCCTCACTTCTCAGCTTAAGCATCTGGATTTACAAAATCACATTAAAACAAAATATTCCATGAATTGGTTAGTAACCACTTATTTCAATGCCTGGCATTCCTTCTCCCAGTAATTCCTGCCCCTCCCCCTTTTGCTCTCACCTACCTTAACACAGAAATACTTAGTACCCTGCACAAAGCCAAGGTATTCTATTCTATACCTTATTTTTGGGCCTCAACTGCCAAACCGAGTCATCATCTCTTCATAAAAACTCTAATAAGGATTCTTCCACACATCAGTGCAAAATTTCACTGTTTTAATCATAATTTTACATTTTAGTTCAAAAGTGTGACTAAATGGTGAAATATCCATTTAGAATAATTCAATTATAAGACTGGTTAGCTAAAAGCAAAGAATTTTCCATAAAAAATTCACAATTTACAAAATTAAAAAAAAAAATCAATAATCCAACATTGTATGTTTCCCTTTCATATTCATAAAATGAAGAGCTTTCCCCGGATGTCTTTGTTATCACCAGCTTTTCACATAAAAGACCAGCAAACTCCATGGTACTGGTCCTAGGAAAAGGAAAAACATGAGATTTACAAAGACTGCCAACATTACAATAGCTTATGTAAAAGCATTTTTTAAAAAAACTACTGTCCTTATAGTGGTCTATCTCAGAAGCCAGATCCGTATAGTTCTTTTCAACAGGAATTCAGGTTCGGGATAGGATCATCACAGATAAGACCAAGGACACAATATTCACTCAACTGCTAAGCAAAAAATTAAAAACCAAAACTCCACTCACAGAAATTGTTGCAATGTAGGGATTTCACAACAAGGTGGCCTCTTTCAACGGGCAGACAGCGACCCTCACTGTTGGCAGAAAAAAAAGCCAGTATCATGAACTATTGTGAATGTTAACTGTTATAAAATCCGTGCAACAAATTTATTTCATTTCGGAATATTGGTCTTATCTCAGAAGCCGAATCCGTATATGCTTTTCTTCAGGTAATCAGCTTCGGGATAGGTTTCATCATTGATTTGACCAATCACGCCTTATATATGCACATATAATACAGTAAGCTGTATTTCAGTGATTATTTGCCAGAGACCAAAGTTAAGTAAAAAGGGAAGAACTACAGAACTTATACAACTACGCAACTTACTTCAAAAGGAAGCTGCTTGGCACTGACACCTGACATCTACAGCTTCATTATTCAACATCCAGAATGCTGTGCAACGACAAAAAAATGTTCACTCAGTCTACGTATGAACTAAATGTATGCTCAATTAGTAAGTACAAGTGCAAGACATACCTGGTTAAGATAGTCAGGTTTTAACCAAATGATGTTCCATTAAATATTCTCCCAGCTGTTTTTGGAACTTTCTCATGCATCTAATAAAAAGAAACAAATTAAAAATGACGCATCATTTTTTTTCTGTCTTTTTTTTTTGGTGCCGTGACTCGGATGATGCATCATTCTCTATTCCTATACATCAACAGGCTCACTCCCTCAGTTTGAAAATTAACCATAACAGCTCTTACCTTAATATCTCCACATAACTGCTCCGACATACGGCTGAAAGACAGCGCCATTGTCCTGCTGGGCGCCGATGTTTAAAACTAAGCATTCTCACTGAATGCACTTGAAGGTTTTTTCAAGCACTAAACCGCTCCCCTTCGTTCGTACGAATTGCACACAAAGCTCGCCAGGCAGCAGTCTCCTGCAGCGGCGAGGCCGCCCGTTTTGAAATAATCTGGCGACAGAAGAAAAGCATTCGCCATGTTAGTATACTAAGGCCCTTGCTCTCAAATCAGCCCTCCGCTCCAAGTGCGGGAGTGCGGTTTTCCGCCGCCGCTCGGGCTCGGCGTCGCCCGCCACCAGAGCCAAGCAGCCCGCCGCGCGCGGAGGACGAGGCCGGTCCGCAGCTTCCTCACGCCTAAGCTCGGATCCTGCCCGCACCACGACTCAAGCTCAGGACACGCGGCGGCCCGGCTGCGCGTTTCCCACGTGCGAGTTTTCAACAGCACGCTAAGCTCGAATCTCTTAAGATAGCTTCGCATTAAATACTGAAATTACCAACCTCGGCCTGCGCCACCAGCTTCCACTTGGATAGGCGCCCTCATCGCCCCGCTCACCTCACAGGACACTAACACCTTACAAATCCGACGTAAAAGGGCGAGCTGCGTCCCCAGCAGCTCCCTATATAGCCTCTCTTGAGTCAGAACGAGGCCGCCCCGCCCTCTCGCATCCATTGGGCGAGGGAGCAGAGGGGGCGTGGCCGCTTTCCTGACACGAAAGAGCGGGAGCGCGCGCGGCGGCTCCTTTTCTTCGTGGGCCGGTTCTGGGGCGTGGCGCGCGCGCCGCAAGTGTGGCGCGCGCCCGCAGGCGCACTGCGAGCCGTCGCTTACGAGTCTGGCGAGCGACCCGGCCCTACGTGGCGCGGGAGTGGCGCCAGATTTCAAACTAACAGCCGCAGTTGGCAATGAGGCCGTCGCGTGCTCGGAGCCAAGTCCGCCCGAGACGGATTGGGGCCGGGAGCGGACTTGAGTTCTGCCGCGCAGGGCCGCCTCAGCTTAGGACCGACTCGGGAAGCCGGGCTGGCTGGCGGGCCCCGGGCGCCCAGCGGCGGCCGCTGAGGGAGCTGGCGAGCACTAGTCGCAGCACGCCGGGGAAGGGAAATTGGCTGCAGAAATGCTAGGGTGAAAAAACCGAAAGCGCTGCGCTTGCGCTGCGCTTGCCCTCCGCTGCACAGCCGGAGTACCGCGCCTCTCCGGAGGGTCGCCCAGCCGCGGCGGGCGGCCCAGCCGGGCCCTCGGGGGACGCCAGGGCCCAACGGGGGCCCAGCCCACTTCTCGCCCCTTGCGCCAGGCACTGCTTTTGCACTAAAACCAGCCCGTAGCAGGCTCCCAAGACTGCAAACCTGACAGGTGAAACACTCCATTTCGCAGAGAAGAAAACAGGCCTGAAGCTGCTAAGGGATTTGCCTAAGGTTACACAGCTGAATTGCTTTGCTATTTTTAATTTCTTTGTACTAAATTAGTTATCCTGAACACTGGAGGAAGAGTAATTTGAGAAGTATCCCTGAATAGTTTGTCCAGATGGCAAAACTTAAAAGATTCAAAAGCTATGCTTTCGTTAATTTGCATATACGGGTGAATGTATGAGTGTGCACACACGACATTTTAACATTTCAGCATTTGAAAAATCAAGTCTTGACTTCCTTATTTCATAGCACTTATTAACTAAAATTGTTTATGTGTAGGTTTATGGTCCTCCTCTACTAGAACGTGTTTGAGGAACACTGGTTTTGTGCGTTCCTGTTTGTGCGTTCCTGTTCCAAGGCTTGGGACAGTGCCTTGCATGAAGTATTGACAGGTTGTTAGTAATTATTGCTTAAATAAATGAAAGAATTAATGAATGTACTCGGTGGCTTTTTAGAAAATTAGAATGAAGATCAAACTCCAGATTAAAAGGTAATAGTGAAAAACAAATTGCTTTAACAGGAACCTAAATGATGAAGTATTTATTTGACTGGGCATTGTGTCGTTTTTTTATATTTTGTAGTGTACAATATAAAATTTGCATATTATAGTGAAAAAAACCTAAAAGAGTACAAAAGGATACAAGCAAAGTAAAAGTACCTTTCACCATCTTTGGGAATCTTCTTAGTTTTACTCTCCAGAAGTAACCACTATTAATAGTTCTTGAAACTGTCTATGCAAATACAGGTATATAGTTTTTCATATACAAATAGGATCTATATGCTCTTATGCAACTTGCTTTTCCTTCTCATAAATACCATGACACCTTTCCATATCAGTACATGTAGATGACCTTACTCTTTTTTATAGCCTGCATAGTATTCCGCTGAAGGTATCATAATTTATTTCATCAATTGCCAATTTATCACTATTTGAAACAGTGCTGAAGTGAATTATATTAATATCATAGTAAGCTTGTGGGAACATGTCTGCAAGATCAATTTCTAGAACTGAGTCAAAAGTCATATGTACTTAAAATTCTGATACTGCTTAATTGTTCTCTACCCCCACAAAAAGATTGTGTGTTGTGATTATATTTTGAGGTCTGTTTTGCGAACTAAAAAACACAGGTATGACTATTATGGGTTGGCAATTATAACATGAGAAACTAATTAAATTTGAGAACTAATTAAAATTGAGAACTAATATTATCTTTGTTATCTTTAAATCACTGCTGTGCTGAAGACCATCAAAATCACATGGTACATGGCCAGGCATGGTGGCTTACGCCTGTAATCCTAGCACTCTAGGCCGAGCCGGGAGAATCTTTTGAGCTCAGGAGTTCGAGACCAGCTTGAGCAAGAGCAAGACGCCGTCTCTACTGAAAAAGAAAAAATTAGCCGGTCAACTAAAAAAATAGAAACAAAAAATTAGCTGGGCGTGGTGGCTTGCGCCTGTAGTCCCAGCTACTCTGGAGGCTGAGGCAGAAGAATCTCTTGAGCCCAGGAATTTGAGGTTGTAGTGAGCTAGGCTGATGCCACATCATTCTAGCCGGGGTTAAAACAAAAACTCTGTCTCAAAAAAAAAAAAAAAAAAAAATGATCCTTCCACCTCAGCCTCCTCAGTAGCTAGAACTACAGGCATGCATCACTAAGCCTAGCTAATTCTTTAAGTTTTTTGTAGGGATGGGATCTTGCTATGTTGCTGGGGTTGGTCTCAAACTCCTGGCCCCAAGCAGTCCACCCACCTCAGCCTCCCAAAGTGCTGGGATCATAGGCATGAGTCACTGTGCGTGGCCTACATTTTTAATAAGTAAAAAGAATCAGATGAAATTAATTCTAGTATGTTTTACTTGACCCAATATAACCAAAATATTTTCATTTTGACATATAATCAATATAAAATTTATTGAGATATTTTACATTTTTTTATATGCAGTCCAAAATCTGGTGTGTATTTTATACTTACAGCACATCTCAGCTTGGACTGTCTACATTTCAAGTGCTCAGTTGTCACATGTGGCTAGTGTCTGCTGTATTGGACAGTATGGATGTATACTGTCATATACATGTAGAAGTTTGAGAACCACTGTCTTAGGGTAAGGGAGATACCACATATGTGACATATTCCACTCTTTGAAAAAAACCCCTTTCATCTTCCTTTTGACTCATAAACTAATAACTAACAAAGGCAATGCTAAAATGAAATTAGTCCAGAGCCTGATTATTGACAACACTGCCTTCCAGTGAACAGAGGCAATGACTGTGAAGCCAACACACAACTCTTTCAAGATGTTTATCTCTTTAATATTCCCACCCAACTCCCTCTTCAGAAACCTCCTGAGGCCAGAGATGCTCTTATCCGATGATGGATGAGGCTTGCCCAAATACAGCTACCCAGACTGTCTGTCCATGTCCTGAGGCTACAATTTCCATGGGGATCCACTGCCCCATTGCTTAACCCAAACATTTCAGCCCCAATCATCCAACATGAGAAGGGGAAGTCACATCTGGAACAAATTTGACATATCCTAAAATACTGTCCACCTATGTTGAATGATTGGGAGTTCCAGGCACAATCAGGGGAATCTTGCCCCAATATTCTGTCATCCCTTCGCTTGTCCCCATGGAGTCCCAAAGAAGGGAGGCACCTGAAGGTAGCATTGCCTTCAAGTTTGAATCAGAGACCCTGCCAGTGGTGTCGCTGCAGCTTGGACAGCCCCCAGGGAGTGCATTCCACTAGGAAAAAAGATAAAGAATTGTTGAGTATACTGCTATTGGGATTTCATAGACATAGCCTAATCAGGCAACTGCCTGGTCCTCCACTTGCCCCCAGGCTCAATATTTTCAAAATGCATTATAGTGCTATGTTTCCCTTCCACTGCAGGGCAGTGTTTGATTCCAAATGGCTTTTATTAGGTGGAGTGTATTACCTGGTTCCTGATAGTCTTTGTAGATATTGAGTTACCCACTTTATCATTTTATTATCCCATTTGCTTGGGGGTAATAGGGAGCATAAAAGTTCCATCTTTGCTTTCCAGTTTGCAAACCATTATGATTTTTTTTTCCATGTAGGAGAGTCTTTCATGGTCAAATCATTAATCTGTTAGTCATTGGAGCCTATGATTAGCCCATTTGTAAGCCCCATGAGTCTGCAAATATGTAGCAGAGGGTTGCTGTTGGAGTAGCGTGTATAGACATCATTACTGTATGGAGTTTGGCCCGTTGGGCAGAGTGTTGTCTGATCCCAATTAGCAGGTAGCCATCCTTGGGGCAGATGGCCACAGTAGCCCATTGAACTCCATTAGCTTTGAGTTTCGAACACTTATTTGTGAACCAATCCATGCCTTCGCCAGAACATCTTTGAACCTTAAGCCCCATTTAGTTAAGGGAGGGAAGGAAGTGTCCCCTTCAGGCCATTAGTCCCCTTTGGCAAAGTGGCTGCTTATTTATGGAATTGGTTAACCCCTTGGGGCCCAACTCAGGCCCCATCTTGGACGTATCATTTTTATTTAATGACGGAATTTTGCTGAGTTTGTTATATTTTATTACGGACAGCTTAGGTTTTAAGGTCACATACAGCACTTCAGTGGTCAGGTATTGTTTCACCAGGGCCCAGAGCAGACTAAGAGCTGCTGTTTGAAGGGGGTATAACTGGCAGCCACCTCAGGTAATTTACACATTTAAAACCTGAGGGGTCAACATATCCAAGTAACAGTCCCTTGTCACAGGCCCCAATCTGTATGGATGAGAGTCGCTGAGACCTATGGTTCTGGCAGGCTCCAGTGGCAGTAATGGTACAGCCCGTGTCATTGCATGCTGTATAACCTTTAGAGCCTGTTTTTATTGGGGACCCCATTTAAAGAAGGTTGCTGCTTGTGTAATCTTGATTAAAGGGACTAAAAAAAAAAAAATACCCAGGTGTCGTATATACTGTCTTCAATATCCAAACAGTCTCACTGTTGAGCTTCTTTCTTGTTTGTGGGTGCTGCCAAGGACAGCAATTTTTGTTTGACTTTATCAAGAATACACCTCTGATAACTGGCCAGGTGGCTCCTAGGAACTGCAATTGTTGAGCAGATCCCTAGATCTTATCAGGTTGAGAGCCCAGCCTCATGTATCAAACTATCTATGACCGTATGTAGGGCCTGGTCAACTTGTTTATTAGGCCAGCAATGAGAACGTCAT